AGACTCCTGTCCAGCCAGCAGCCACCAACTTGCAGGGAACACAGACTTCTGTCCGCTCAGAAGACATAGTTACATGTGAAATGTGCAATCTGCGCCTGAGAAAAAAGAATCTTCGTATTCATTTGAAAAGAAAACACCAGGAAAATGTGGAGCTGATTTCAGAAAAACGACATTTAAGGAGTCAGTGTGTGGATGCCAAAAAAGGTGTTTTTGCTGTGGAGAAATCCTTTTATGGTCCATCAAAACCTATTCATGTAATAAAAAACACCTGGTCACAATTTCACAGATCAGAATGTGAGCTCGACAGGTGTAATGTGAATGCACAGTTTGCAAAGCGAAGCGGGATTTTGCCTTTTGAGTGCGAACACGTTCAATCATTACGCTTTTGTCCACGCGCCACAGACTCAGAAGGACCTCTGTCTGAATGTACCCTCGACATCCTGGTTGACAATTTATGGTTGAGTCTTCAAAGAAAAGAAGAACTTTTGAAAAAACAGCAGGAGGCGCTATCAAATAATGCGCCATTTTCAGTTCTTCTTTTTGTCGGTGAGACAGACAAAACTTTTCACGTGTCTGTCTTTGAACCTAAAACGGCATTTTTCAGCAGACTTGGAAGGGTTACTGTCACTTATGACAAACAAAATAATACCTGGCATTGTGCATGTACAGTGGGCAAAAGATCTTGTACGCACAAGGCCACAGCAAAGTGGCATCTCTTTGAAAAAATGCCGGACATGTTCAAAGCGGCAGTAAATTCAGAGGAGGACGTTGTGTGCGCGACAACAACAGTATCAGAATGTCAGGAAGAAAGTGGTTCCATCACTGATGAAGCAGCAGAGAGGATAATCAAGTACTTGATTTACCAGAAGAAAATACCTGTTGACCTTCCTGACACTCTTATCATCACCAGTAGAGACGCCAAAGCTCTCAATGGGTTCCCCAAACATCTGATCCCATCAGAGACAAAATGCACAGAATGTGGACAGCACGCCAGTCTTAGTGACCCTCAGTTGGTATCTTCCACAGC